TCTGATCCAGCTCTCTGCTATGGCCTGGGAAAGCAGTGGAAGATGGCCCAAGTCCTTGGGCCCCTGTACCCACATGGGAGACCTGGAAGAAGCTCCTGGCTCCTGGTGTCAGATGGTTGCAGCTCTGGCATTGTGGCCAATTGGGGAGTGAACCAGCAGATGGAAGATTCTATCTCTCTCCTTCTCTCTCTGTGTAACTCCAACTTTCAAATAATTAAATCTTTAAAAACAAAACATTTTTTAAGCTAACGAAGAAACTGAAACTTGGCTTGGATAACTTGCTCAGAGTCCCACTACCAGGACATAGGCAACCAAGATTAGAACTTGATTTTACAATTTGGGCTTCTAATCATACATGACACCAACTCTGAAAGTAGCAGTACTTGGGAATTAAGTCAGATAGACTGGGGTTCAGGGTCAGGGCATCTATCGCCTGAAGATGCCAGTAATTTAAGAATAAATCAGGAAATCCTAGAAGGGAGAAAGGTCAGAACAGAAGGTCTCCTACTAGGAGACAGGATAGCTTCTGTACCCAACATAGAGTAGAATTTAAGTAGCTTTAACTTTGAAGGTTAGAAAGAGAAAAAGAAAGGGAATCTAGAATGCACCCCCCCTACTAAGCCAAAGGCCCTTCTGAATATATGAAGTAAATAGGCTAATTAGAATAAAAGGTAACTCCCTCAGACTTCCTTCATCTATCCCATGTGGTGCCAAATAGTCCCTTCTTATATAACTCCACATTCCTTCCCTAAAAATACACTCCATATATAGGAGCCTCAAGAGAGATTTACACACCACATTATAAAGTTCTTGGTGCCCGTTAGTAGACTCCAGGCCACTATCCACGACTAGTAGGTAATGAAAGGAAATTTCATCTGAGCAAAAACTTTATCAAAGATGGTCCAGGATTGCCAAGAAAATCTCTCTTAATGAAATAAAGACATAGTCATAAAGAAAAAAAAAGACGGAGAATAATGAAAAATAAACAAAAGCTGGGTTACTGAGAGTTGGACTTAGAGCCTGGTTTGGGGAGGAGGTAAGTAAAAGCACCATCAGCAGATGATAGGGCCAATTAATATAATTCTAACATTTAGACTGAAGGATACAGGTTTGCCTTTTTCTCTCACCTAATTGGTAAATTCCAGGCACAGTTAGCAACCATTAAATACAGTGAATTTTGTTCCAGTTTTTCAAATATGACTCATAATTTGCAACTCTAGCATGTGGGACTCATATATGTTTGGGACACAAACTACTTAGTGTAACGTTTTGTTGTATGCTACTCTAGGGTCCTAAGAACAGGGGGTGGGCTCATGGACAACAACTGTAACCCAACCAGTAGAACAGAGAAATTTGCAGGGAGCCCAGTGCCCTTTTCTTGTTCTCTGGCATAGGCTCAGGACTTGGGCCTATTTTTCCTCTTACTAGCATGAGTTTTAACTTTTTTCCTTTATTGAGCATTTTTTGGCTTGAAGTCCATTTAAAACATTTTCTAAGTGCCTCCTACAAACCAGGCACTAAGCTAGGTACTGAGTTAGAATTTCACCCAGCTCTCTCTCTGCCTGCTGACACCACAACAACGCCAAGCTAATAAGGTTGTTCTTTACAAGCAGTTGAGGGCTTCTAGAAATCTATGCCATGCAGTCTCTACCAGTGAAACTCTGAAAAGTAGATACATGGAGGCAAAAAGTAAGGTAGTGATTCGTCTTTTGGAAATAGTAGTAGACCAGGGGTTAGGACCCAAGGCTATTTATTGGCTGTGAGTTCAGTGACTGTTTCACAGTATCAGATTTGCTATTTTAGGATTTTGCAGTAACTCATATCTGGCAACAACTTTGTATCTGGGGAACAGTTGGGGAAAGTGTGGGAAGCACTTGCTCCTCCTAACATTCTTCAAGAGGGGTATCATTTCCACTATTAAGAAAAAAGATAATATAGTAATGTGATAGTTGCTGAAACTATGAATAAAAGGACCAGAGAGAAAGCAGTGTGAAACACTTAACCCCAGCCAATGTTCTTGGTTGTATGTCAAATAGAAACATATTCTGGAAAATTTATGTGGAAATGACATTTGCTGGAAGCCTTTTGGGTAGTTGACAGAAGTAAAGGGAAGACTGGGAACAGGTGCCAATGATGGGTGGGGGAAGCCAGAAGGCTGGAACCAGCGTCAACATTCTGGCAAGTGTGCCACGGTCACCACACCTGGAATGGCCGCTCAGCTCCTGACACTGGACTTCAGAAATCACTGTCAAAGGCAGAATGAATTTCAAACAGGCCTTGCGTCTTTACATATTTGCTTTCAATTCTCAGTCTCAGGGCATCCAACTGTTGAAGCTGATGTGCCCACACCACAGACTGGGGAGAAGGGCTCTGCTACATTTCAAGCCTCCATGGTACAAGGTGGGGACCTGCCTTCCACTCAGAATCACTTCATGGTAGATTATCCCCCCAAAAGGAAGGGGGTCATTTGTGAGACAAACAAGAATGTTAACCACAATTTAGACCAAAACTACAGAGAAAACAGTCATAGGAGGCCTCCATAGTCTTCCTCTGCTGGTAACAGAATCTGGTTATTTCTCTGCCTTTGCCCTTAGAATAACACTGTGACATAAAACATGTCTGGAAAAGCCCTGCCTCAAGTAGTTTCTTATGAAATCACCTCCACAATTGGCCAGAAGGGAGGGTCCCGAGAAGGAAACTGATGCTTTCCATTTGCCCTCGTCTGCAGTGTGGAATGTTAACAAGTTAACATCTTATTATCAGGAACTCTTAACTACACTAATTTAAGCAAAAGAACATAGTAAAAAATAGGGGTCGGTGTTGTGGCGCAGTGGTTAGCCCTAGCCTGAAGCGCCAGCATCCCGTATGGGCGCTGGTTCCAGACCCGGCTGCTCCATTTCTGATCCAGCTCTCTGCTTTGGCCTGGGAAAGCAATGGAAAATAGCCCAAGTCCTTGGGCCCCTGCACCTGTTAACCAAAGAAGCAAAGATGAAATAAATATAATCATAGATAATGAAAAAGGCCAGTTAACCATGAAGTTCAGCATCAGGCTAACTAATTTTTCTATATAAAACTGAAATAAACATGTCAGTAAAATGTTCATATTTTGTTTTTTTAAACGATTTATTTATCTGAAAGGCAGAGTGATGGAGATGGAGAGACAAATCTATTTTCTGGTTCATTTCTCAAATAGCCCTAACAGCCAGGGCTGGGCCAGCCTGAAGCCAGGAGCCCAGGTTCTCCTGTGGGTAGCAAGGGCCCAAGCATTTGAGCCATCCTCCACTGCCTTCCCAGGCACATTAGCAGTGAGCTGGATCAGAAGCAGAGCATCAGGGACTTGAACCAGTGATCTGATGTGGGATGCAGTCACCCTTGCAAGAGGTAGTTTGACCCGCTCCACAATGCTGGGTGCTACGGAATTCTTCATTTGCTGACCACAAGCAATACACTGCCAAAGGTGCATCCTCAACAAGCTGGCTTCTAGTTACATGAAGCATAAGGAAACGGATTCCTGATCCAGGATCAGGCCACTAACTCCGAAGGGACTGTTAACCTGTCTAGACGAACTAATGGACTTTTTTTTTTTTTTTTTTTTTAACAGGCAGAGTTAGACAGTGAGAGAGCCTTCCTTCCATTGGTTCACCCCCCAAACGGCCGCTACAGCCGGTGCACTGCGCCGATCCAAAGCCAGCAGCCAGGCGCTTCCTCCTGGTCGCCCATGAGCTGCAGGGCCCAAGCACTTGGGCCATCCTCCACTGCACTCCCTGGCCACAGCAGAGAGTTGGACTGGAAGAAGAGCAACCGGGACAGAACCGGCGCCCCAACAGGGACTAGAACCCAGTGTGCCAGCGCCGCAGGCGGAGGATTAGCCTAGTGAGCCGCGGCGCCTGCCCACTAATGGGCTTTTAAACACTTTGGGAACAGGCATGGAGAAAACATGAAAGGGTATAATTCATTGGAGGAAAGAAGATAAATATTTCCCCTTATATTAATGAAGATTCTTTTATACTTGTGTGGATTTCCAGGCCATTATTTGATATCATCATTGCTTTTCCATAACAGTCACGGAATGCAGAGCTGAGAGATCCTGATCGTAGAGTAAGTAAGCAGTTGATTCTTGATTCCCTGTCATCCACTCCACATTTCTGGGTCACTGAATTAGACAATCCATCCTAGGGCAACCCTCTTTCGGCTCCTAATGATTTTGTTCAAAAGTGAGGAATGTGACTTTCCTATCCAAAGTTCACTTGGAACAGTTCACTGAAATATCATTATGACTCCTTATGACATCCATGTCAAACACAAGTGTGAAGACATTGAAAGGTATAGTATTTCTGGTACTAATATAAACACTTTACAAGTTAAAAATATACAGCTCCCACAGTGATGAGTTTTCAGTGATAATTAAATTTTCCCAAGTTTGGCCAAGTGTCCCTGTACGAGTATTTTAAAATCGCTCATTCTGACAGGCCCCTCAGCCTTCAGAGTCCCTTGCACGTTTCCTATTTTTCTAGTGCATCGGGGTCCTGCAACAGAGCACAGAATAAAGTCTACTGAATACACGCTTTTCGAGGGAACAAAATCAAGTAGGTGATTTAAAAGCTCTCACTGACTTCTAAGAGAAACACTGGCCTTATAAAGGCAATGAATGGCGTCTTGCTCTGCTAACGGCCCCAACCTCAGTACTTCAATGACAAGCGCGTGCTCATAGACGCTCAATAAATAATAACCGAAAATGAGTGAACATGAATGAAACAGTTGTTTGCAACCAAGATCTACATCCACTTAGAGTCCAGACTCCACAGTTTACATGCGGGCCGCACCCGGGTTCGGGGATATCCTCCCCTGTGGGGCGGTGAAAGCAAGCCTGTCAATCCGCCGAGGCGCGGGACACGGGCGGGCCTCGCGTCACCTCCCCGCGGCCCGCCGTGGCCGACCGGCATTAGGACCCCGCGCAGCACAGGAAGAAGTTGGGAGGCGGACTCAGGGAGGCTGTCGCACGCACTTGACGTCAGCAGCCCGCGCCAGCGGAGGCGAGGACGCCCACCATCGTGAAGAAAGGCTTATCATTCGCCTCGGCTCAGGGGCGCCATGGCAGACACCTGCCAGCCGGGCAGCGGGAAGCGCAAAGGCAAGGCGCAGTATGTGCAGGCCAAGCGGGCTCGGCGCTGCGATGGCGGCGGGCCCCGGCAGCTGGAGCCCGGGTTACAGGGCATCCTCATCACCTGCAACATGAACGAGCGCAAGTGCGTGGAGGAGGCCTATAGCCTGCTCAACGAGTACGGCGACGACATGTATGGGCCTGAGAAGGTGCTGGTCCAGGGGTGGGCGTGCCGGCTGGTGGGCCCGTGAGGGCGGAGGGGCGGAGGGACGGCGGGAAGGCCGGCTGCCTTGGTACGCATGCGCGCGATGTGGCGCGTGCGCAGTGACGGGAAAGCGCCGCCTCGCCTGCATTCGCTCGGGCTCTCGCCGTCCTGCGTCGGGGTCCCGGCGACTCGCCCGTGAGCTTGAAGCGTCTTCATCTTGGACTTGACTTTGTTCAGTAGTAGCGCCTATTGCGTGCTTCCTGTGTGCCAGGCGGTGTGCTGAAGCTCTTTCGGAAACACGAACACTTCTCACGACAGTCTTGTGTGAAGTTGCCTGTTGTAACGTGTTTGGCCCAAGTAACCCTCCTACAGTGGGTTTGGTGCCAGTTCTGGTTACATTGCGAACAAACGTAAAGATAGATTAAAAAGTAAACATTTCTGTGCCGTTACCACTCAAGTTCTCATTGCCCCGTCACCGTTTGCCGCTCATTATTTTGGAGTTTTAGAACCTGGGCCAATGCACTTACGTACTTCTCCAGGAAGAGGAATTGCATGGGTGGGATTTGAATTCAGGTCCATCACTTACCGCTCTGGGACCTGGACGTGGGCGCTTTACTTAATTCTACTGGGTTAGGCTTAAAAAGCGAATAATGATAGTACTTTGTAAGGCAGATTTAGAAAGGGGCTGACGCTGTGGTGTAGTAGGCTAAGTCTCCTGTTGCCACGGCATTTCATATGGACGCTGGTTCAAGTCCCGGCTGCTCCTCTTCTGATCAGCTCTGCTATGGCCTGGGAAAGCACTACAAGATGGCCAGGGCCCTGCACCCACGTGGGAGACCCAGAAGAAGCTCCTGGCTTCAGATCGGGGCAGCTCCGGCCTGTGGGGTCACTTGGGGACTGAACTAGTGGATGGAACATCCTCCTCTTTGTAACTCTACTTCTCAAAAAAAATTTTTTTAAAGAATTGTGTGCATAAAGTAATGGATACTTCAAAAAGTTTATGGCCGGGACCGCGGCTCACTAGGCTAATCATCCGCCTGCGGTGCTAGCACACCGGGTTCTAGTCCTGGTCGGGGCACCAGATTCTGTCCCGGTTGCCCCTCTTCCAGGCCAGCTCTCTGCTGTGGCCCGGGAGTGCAGTGGAGGATGGCCCAAGTGCTTGAGCTCTGCACCTGCATGGGAGACCAGGAGAAGTACCTGGCTCCTGCCTTCAGATCAGCGCGGTGGCCATTGGAGGGTGAACCAACGGCAAAAAGGAAGACCTTTCTAACTCTGTCTGTCTCTCTCTCTCACTGTCCACTCGGCCTGTCAAAAAAAATTTTTTTATGAAAAATGGAATTAATTTATTTTGATGTCTGAAAATTTTAACATTCATACATAGTGTTTTTGCCAAATATCCTTTTTTTTACTTAATGGACCACAGAGTGGACAGTGAGAGAGAGAGACAGACAGAAAGGTCTTCCTTTGCCGTTGCTTCACCCTCCAATGGCCGCCGCGGCCGGCGCACCGCGCTGATCCGATGGCAGGAACCAGGAGCCAGGTGCTTTTCCTGGTCTCCCATGGGGTGCAGGGCCCAAGCATCTGGGCCATCCTCCACTGCACTCCCTGGCCACAGCAGAGGGCTGGCTTGGAAGAGGGGCAACCAAGACAGAATCCGGCGCCCCGACCGGGACTAGAACCCGGTGTGCCGGCGCCGCTAGGTGGAGGATTAGCCTAGTGAGCCGCGGCGCCGGCCTCATACATAGTGTTTTTAAAATACACATTTTGCACCAACTTTTTGAAGGCCCCATGTATGTGTGGATTTCAAAACTTTTTTGCACCAGAATTATTTTTAAATTCCACTTCCCACAAACGTTTTGAGGTAAACTCATGCATGCTGGTATATAATAAAGGCTCCCTAAATGTGTATAACTATATTTGGTCTAGTCTCGCCAAAAGGAGATTGCCATGTATCTGGCACCAAGACACCTACCTATAGTATTAAGATCAGTCCTGAAATAATTCAACTGGTGAGCATATTTCTCTATGTCCCAGACTGCCACAGTGCTTCGGAGAACACTTTGGAATTGTGTGTACCGCAGTCTGAGGAAGCCCCTTCTTCCTCTGCTTGTTGAAGGGAGTGGTGTCTCAGTCTCAATAAAAAGCTTTATAGTTCAAACTGAGCCATCTGCCACTGGGAGTTTCATATAAATAGTTAATTGTAGTGTTTAAGCATGAGCTGTTGTGTCATTTCTGCTCATTAATTTTGTGCAAACAGTTTACAGACAAGGATCCACAGCCCTCCGGAAGTGAGGGAGAAGATGATGATGTGGAGGCTGCCCTGAAGAAAGAGGTTGGCAACATTAAGGCATCTACGGAGATGAGGCTAAGAAGATTCCAGTCAGTGGAAAGTGGAGCAAATAACGTAGTGTTCATCAGGACACTTGGGATAGGTGGGTCTGACTAACACCCCTCAGGTGTCTTAATTTCATGGTGTCTGGACATCTGCCTGTCCTAGGGAACATTTCTTAGCATGTGGCTCAGTTAGTCATTTGATCATGTCCTCTGTACGTTGTAGTAGTACTAGGCATATGGAGCCATAGAGTGAGTTGGTGAACTTGTACACTATGTGGTTCTGGGATTCCTTCCAGGTATGAGATCTCGACTTCTGTACTAACTTAACTGATGAATGAATGAATTTTTTTTAAGACTTATTTTATTTATGTGAAAGGCAGAATTACTGAGAGAGGGAGAAACAGAGGGAGGGAGAGCTTCCATTGGATAGTGCACTCCCCAGATGGCCACAGCAGCCCAGGCTGGGCCCGACCAAAGGCAGGAGCCCAGAACTGCGTCTAGCCTCCCATGTGGGTGCAATGGCCATCTTCCAGCGCTATCCCAAGTACATTAGCAGGGAGCTGAGTCAGAAGTGGAGCATCCGGGACCCAATCCAGTGCCCTCATGGGATGCTGGCATCACAGACAGCAGCTTTACCCGCTATGCAACAACACCGGCCCTGTTTATTTTGTTTTTGTAAAATGTGTAGTGTTTAATGTTTGTTGTTCTGATATTTGCCGTTATAGAGGAAAACAGTAGCAGAGTGTTGCAGTTGGATATTATAAAATTTTAACTCTAGTGTCTACATGAACAGTTTTTTACTAAAGATTTTTTAGTTTCATTTTCCCTGAACGTTTTTTAAGGTTCATTTATTTAGTTTTATTTTTTGAAAAGCAGACTGACAGCCATATCTTCCATCCACTGGTTTATTCCCCAAATGCCAACAACAGCTGGGGCTAGGCCAAGACAAAGCTCAGAACTCCATCAGGCTGTCCCACATTCCTGACATGTTTTTAGTAAAAGCTCTAATAATGATGAAAAGTTAAAATATTAGATATGGTGTTAGGGGCCGGCACTGTGGCCTAGCGGGTGAAGCCACCACATTCGGTGCCAGCATCCCATTTGGGCACAGGTTCAAGTCCCGGCTGCTCCACTTCCGATCCAGCTCTGCTATGGCCTGGGAAAGCAGTGGAAGATGGCCCAAGTCCTTGGGCCCCTGCACCCACTTGGGAGACCCAGATCTCCAAATTGCCGCTTCGGATCGGCGCAGCTCCAGCCGTGGCGGCCAATTAGGGAGTGAACCATCGGATAGAAGACCTCTCTCTCTTTATTTCTGCCTCTTCTTCTCTCTCTGTAACTCTGACTTTCAAGTAAATAAATAAATCTTTTTAAAAAATTATATAGATAAATTGGCCGGCGCCGTGGCTCAATTGGCTAATCCTCCACCTGCGGCGCCGGCACCCCGGGTTCTAGTCCCGGTCGGGGCGCTGGATTCTGTCCCGGTTGCCCTTCTTCCAGTCCAGCTCTCTGCTGTGGCCTGGGAAGGTGGTGGAGGATGGCCCAGGTGTTTGGGCCCTGCACCCGCATGGGAGACCAGGAGGAGGCACCTGGCTCCTGGCTTTGGATTGGCGCAGTGCGCCAGCCGTAGCGGCAATTTGGAGATGAACCAACGGAAAAGGAAGACCTTTCTCTCTGTCTGTCTCTCTCACTGTCTAACTCTGCCTGTCAAAAAAAAATTATATAGATATGGTGTTAGTATATAGTAGGCACCAAAGAGATATTAATTGGAAAAAATGATTCAAAAGATTAAAAAATTTTTTTAAATTTTTTTTAAAAATTTTATTTATTTTATTTGAAAGGTAGAGTTACAGACAGTGAGAGAAAGACAGAGAGAAAGATCTTCCCTTCTTCCCTCCACTGGTCCACTCCCCAAATGGCCGCAATGGCCGGAGCTACGCTGATCCAAAGCCAGGAGCCAGGTGCTTCCTCCTAGTTTCCCAGACAGGTGCAGGGGCCCAAGCACCTGGGCCACCTCTACTGCCCTCCTGGGCCACAGCAGAGAGCTGGACTGGAAGAGGAGCAGCCGGGACTAGAACCTGGTGCCCATATGGGATGCCGGTGCCACAGGCGGAGGATTAACCTAGTGCGCCACAGTGCTGGCCCCTAATTTAAAATTTTTAAGAGAACTTATTGTCAACCTGAGTCACTGCCAGTGAAAATTTATTTTAGAGAATTTCAAGAATCTTCAAAGTGTTGGAGAACTTCTTGGCTTACTTGCCTCTTCTGTGTTGACTGTTTTCTTTTAGAACCTGAGAAATTAGTTCATCACATTCTCCAGGATATGTACAAAACCAAGAAGAAGAAGACTCGAGTCATTTTGCGAATGTTACCCATCACAGGCACATGCAAAGCTTTCTTGGAGGATATGAAAAAATATGCAGAAACATTCTTGGAACCCTGGTTTAAAGCTCCAAACAAAGGGACATTTCAGATTGTATACAAATCTCGAAATAATAGTCATGTAAACAGAGAAGAAGTTATAAAAGAATTGGCAGGTACATTTCTTGATTATTTTACATAATTGTGCAAAACATTTTTAAAGTTTTTCTTTTTTCCTTTTTTTTAAGATTTAAGGTTTAACATTTTTGAATATAGAACAAGTAGATAAAATGACCTTAGATAATACCAAGCCTAACATTTCAATATGATGAATAGGAGATTTTCTGGTAGTTAGTCTTTTCCAAATCAACATTGAATTTTCTTAAGAAAAAAAGTACTCTTTTTAAATGTCTCAGGATTTTATTTTTATTTGTTTATTGAAAGGATTCAAGAGATTTGATTGAAGTCCACATAGAACTGTGAACTAGTATTTGTTCTCTCTTAACAGTTCTCAGACAGAAGGGGATAAAAGGTTGTTTTTTTTGTTTTTTTTTTTTTTTTCTTCAGAGTTAATGGTATCCTTCTTGGGCTAAGTGTTTTTGTATTTTTCTTACAGGAATAGTGGGCAGCCTCAATTCGGAAAATAAAGTAGATCTCACCAACCCACAGTACACAGTGGTAGTAGAAATCATCAAAGCTGTCTGTTGCCTGAGTGTTGTGAAAGATTACATGTTATTCAGAAAGTACAACCTCCAGGAGGTGGTGAAGAGTCCTAAGGACCCATCACAACTTCACCCAAAGCAAGGAAATGGGAAAGAAGCAAAGTTGGAATCTAATGACAAATTAAATCAGAGTGACCCAGCAGAAGGGAGAAATAACCAACAGGGGGTACCAGACAGTAGTGAAGAGAAAACAAAACCAGTGACAGAGACTCAGGTGGTACATGAGGGAGAAACTAAACCTGAACCTGCAAGTCAAGTCACAGATGGATCTGAGTCAAATGCACCTGATGTCTCATAGGAGGTAACTGGGTGTTACAGGTGGGTTTCTCAATTGGAGTTCCATGTAAAATTGTGGCTAAAAATGTTTTTGACCTTTGCGTGCCACATTATGCTCTTAAAAATATGACTTCTCGTGCAGGCAGCCCTGTTAACATTTCTGTTAGAGATCTTTCAGTCTTATATGGCAGTGTGTTAGGGTCCAGATGCTACTGTAAGGAGGGTACCTCCTCATATTAGGAGGATGACATGGTCCCTCATGATGACCTTCCCAGCTTCCCCTTTGGCACTGCCAGCTGACCCAGGGGAGTGCATAAGCTCTCTGAAGTGAAAAGAATCTTTGGGAAATTTTCGTTGTAAAGAAGGAATTTTTAATGTCCCACAACTCAGCTATCTTCGACCACTGTGTTGTAAATGTTGCAAAAACATAGATTGTGTAGGTTAGAAGTGAATTATTTGGTGATGTTTTTGTATTTTGTATGCATTTAATTTGTTACTATGTCTATTTTTATATATTAACATTTGTTTGTAACAAACAAATCCAACAGTTCATTGCTGCAATTTTTGAAGGCAAGATGTGAGGTAGAAGAGGACCATGCCAGGCATAAACCCACAACACTGCTGACTGACAAGGTTAGTGATTGAGAGTTAGTTTTTGAGTTACTTTAATATACTACAGAGGACACAACGAAATTCAGTCTTTACAATGAAAGCTACTTCTACAGGGTTTTGTATGGAATCATAACCCAAGTTGTCATATGCCATCATGCTTTGTCTGTGGCACGTAACTTAGAAATCTAGTAACTGTCCCATTAATTAAAAATCACAGCCATTTGACAAGTAAGGATGTTGGCTGTTTTAATGCATTTTGGAATATCAAAAGTGTAAAACTTTTGTTCAAAAACTCTTAAAGGTTTAGGAAGCAAATTATTTAGTAACAGTACTTATTCCAAAGAAGAAAATTCACATGGGCGGTGGGACTAGTAATACTAACTTGAAAACATCAAGATAAGACGCAGTACAAGAGATGGAAGACTTTGCTCTTAGTTTTTCGGGTTGACTTACTGAAGATTTGTCACACGATACTAAAGGTTTTGTGTCGATAACTAGAAAGCCACATCTTCTCTATGATCCCTCAACAAATTCAGTGAGTATTTGCCGTGCTGTAGCATTTGCAAGATTTGTAAATGATGAAATTTTAAAAAATTTAAGGGCTTTTTCTTCTGCTAGGAGCCATCCTAACAAAGGCCAGTTATACTTCATGGTGTAGCTCCTCTGAAAACCAAGGGTCTGTCATCTATCCTGGTGCCCCATCAATGACTGGCTTCATGGCAACTTTTGCCTTCATTTTAAAACAAGAAATCCTGACACAGACATTATAGCACACTGCTTTTTTTTTTTTTTTTTAACAGAGACGCTGATATCAAAACTTGGAGATGAAATAAAGTTAGTTCTGAAAATGTTAGAGAAATGGTTAACTCCATTAAAGACCCACTTATGCAACAATGTTTTAAGAAAACCCAAAACCCAAACATACATCTGCTCCATTGAGAAATCTAGTGATTTCCCAGAGGAGGGCTTCTTGCAGGGAGTTTGAGTTGAAAGCTAAACTGCAAGAGTACTTGAAAGAAAACAGTAAGACAGTAGGCTGAGCTTGCTCAGTGCTGTGAAAATAAGAATGGCTATGGAAACCAGCCGATTTATCAGACATTTTCACCGTGAATACATAAGCAAGCTTGAGAGAAAGCTTTTTCTTAAAGTGACAAGAATTTTAGATCTGAAAGGAAACTGAGTCTCGAAAAGTCATGTCAGCAGTCGCCAAGGGGACTCTTGAAAGGTTTCTGCAGCAGCTTGGGCTTGAAAATGAAAAATACATTAAGCTTCAAACCCACCTGGGAAAATTAAATAGCATAGCCTCTCATTTCCCAACATGAGTGAATGAGGAACTGAATGAGGAACTCCTGCAAGTCTTCTGCTCAGCATGAGACTTTGTCTCTGAAGGAAGAGAAAGAACTCAGTCCTTTAAAAAGTTAGGCAGCAGGATAGATGTTAAGGCTTCTTGCACAAGTGACTGTTAATTCAAAGGCTGGTGAACATGGGACTGTGTTTCTGTCCTAGCTAATGGTCCTGTTAGGTAAACCAGACTAGAAGAGTTTGGAGGAGCAGAGAGAACAGGTAACACCTTGCTAATGCAGATGGGGAAGGACCTTCCTTACTATCTCCAGGTATTTACAATGTTAACTCTTGAAGAGGATGCAGTCCCCTTGAAATGCTAGTAAGAGTTACTCGTATCATTTGCAAGAACAGGGAAGATAGGATTTTGGTGCCTTCGTCAGTGGCCTTGCTCCTGCCTCTGAGACACAGATACTTTTTATTTTGATAGTGCAAGACAAAAGGACTCTGGGAATAAAATTGGCCATGTGCCTACACAACATACAGCTCTGTGGAACTTGGTTCCTTTGCTTTGTGAAGCTGCTAGTATACAGAATGATTTTCACGTTATTGTTTGTTTTAATTGCCTTTTGTATTTATTTGTATTTGGTGAAACCTGAGTGTGACACAAGCTGTTCTTCCCCAGCAATAGAACGCTGCATTCTGTTGGAGTGTGAATTTATTCACTCAGAGATTGTTCTTGGCTTTGTCAGCTGTTTCTTTTCACTGACATCTCAGTGTATTACTTTGTAAATTACAAGATTCCAGGGTAGGAATTGAGTGCTTTTTTCTGGTTGTTGTTCAGTTTTTTATTTTAAAAGATGAAAAGTTAACAAAACAAAATGTTTTGGTTTAGTATACTTGCGTTGCTCTTTGTAGGAAACAGTGTTAAACTTGGTCTTTTAAACATGTTTTTCCAGGGCTAACCATGATTTTTACTTGTATTTTGCTTTTGGTATGGCCAAATATTCAGCTTGTTTTTCATAACTCCTGGTATTTTTAGAAAAATCAAAATAAATCTGTTCCTTAAAGACTGGTGTTCTGTACTTTTTCCTTATTTCTGTGTCTTAGTAAATCTCTTGTGTTTGTATATCATTATAAAAAGTGTTTGCTTGTGAGACTATCAAAGAAGTCATGTAAATGGTTCTAAAAAGCAGATACAGAAAATGTATTATTTATTCTTGTATAATTAATACTCTGAAATAATCCAAGTTTCAGTGAATTTGCTTCAAAGCAAGTTATAGTAATTCAGTATTTAATTTCATTAAATTCACTTCCTGGTCTTTGAATTACCTGTACTCCTTAATTTAACATTAATATTTTAATCCAGCTAAAAGTTTTAGTCTCAAAGATGTGTTAAGCAGAAAAATTCTGTCTTAAATATTTCTCTTAGAATAGTTATTCATTTTATCTTTAATTAATCAGCTATAATGAAAACAAATGAAAGATTCATGTACAGTGTCCATTGCTAAGTAATAATTTGAGCCCACTATTTTAAACATTACTGATCATTGGATTGGTCATCATTATAACAGTTTTCTTCCCAAGTATTTTTAGAGTTTTTTTCCCTTTTTATATTTTGGCTAAGTACAGAACAAAAACTGGAATTTTCAACTAGGAGAAATCTTAAACATTTTAACAGAGCAGTCGCTGAATTAAAAGAAAACAACCATGTTGGTACTTAATCCTTCCATTTTCTGATCAAGCTATCTTCTTCCCCATTCTTGATCTCTTAAAACGTTGCGTTTGATTTTCCCAGTGATTGTCTTTGGGAGTTCTTGAACGAATTCCACCTAATTCACAGAAAAACATTATGAGACTCTTGATTGCATTTTGCCTTAACTGTCAGCACAGTAGCAGAGAGCTTTTATGAACCTGAGGCTATTTTGAGAGTCTATAGATTGTCCTAGCCTAAGCTCCCTGAACTTTGTAGACATGAGAATCTTGTTCATTTATATATAAGGACGATGGTGAAATACCACCAAATGGATTTGCACTGCAAATTCACTTATATGCTTTGCTACAGTCCTTTCCCCTGGATCAAACTAGACCTAGTGCCTCTGTGGTCCTTTGAAAATGGAGGTTTTACTTAAAGGCAATTAGAAGTTCTTGGCTTTTGAGTTTAAGAGCTGGGTCTTAAAAGTTCTGAGAGGGAAATTTTTAACATAATTTGGAATATATATGATGTTTCTCATGCTGTAACTTGACCTTAAAATCCTCCTTGTTCCCCTGTGAAGGTAAAAGATGCTGTCTTTTAAAATGCCCTCAAGAACAAACTGTTGAAATCCTTACTTAAGGTATACTAAGCTGATCTTCTGTATATTAAGATAATCGAAAATGAATCTTGATGTGAATGGAAGGGGAGAGGGAGTGGGAAAGGGGAGGGTTGTGGGTGGGAGGGACGGTATGGGGGGGAAAGCCATTGTAACCCATGAGTCGTACTTTGGAAATTTATTTTCATTAAATAAAAGATAAAAAAAAAATAAATAAAATGCCCTCAAACATTTCTGAAAACCAAAGGATCACTGCTCAAAGAATTTAATGGAGAAAGTGTTAAAATGGTTGAAACCAATAAATAGAAATGAACTTTTCAACCGTTAAAACCTCGGTTCATGGGGGCTGGTGCTGTGGTGTAGCAGGTAAAGCTGCCACCTGCAGTGCCAGCATCCCATATAGGCACCAGTTCAAGTCCTGGCTGCTCCATTTCCAGGCCAGCTCTCTGCTATGGCCTGAGAAAGCAGAAGATGACCTCAAGTGCTTGGGCCCCTGCACCTGCATGGAAGACCTGGAAGAAGCTCCTGGCTCCTGGCTCCTGGCTCCTGGCTCCTGGCTCCTGGTTCCTGGCTCCTGGCTTTGGATCTGCTCAGCTCCAGCTGTTGTAGCCATTTGAGGAGTGAACCAGTGGATGGAAGACCTCTCTCTGTCCCTCCCCTGCATACCTCTTCCTCTCAAATAAATAAATAAATTTTAAACAACAACAACAAACCAGTTCTTAGTTGTATTACCCAGGTCTTAGGTGAAATTAACTACCTTTTGATGAAATGATGCTAACTGGAGATCAACCAAAAGGATTTTGGCACTAGAAGGAAACAACAGTGCCATCTCTGTGTCTTGTATAGAATTATTCTTAAATCTTATGATGGTTTCAGGAAAGATTCCACAATTCCTTTGGGTACTACCCTTTTCCTGCCTTGAGTGTGGTCACTTGAACTTTATTAAAGGCACATGCTTTGAGTTTCTAAGGGTACTATGGCCAGGAGTACTAAGATAATTCTTATGGAATAGGCCCAATTAGTCCTGCAGTGACTGAATATTACAGAGTTGATTTAAGAATTCTACATTATCTATATTCTGTATTTGTAGTGTCCTAATACAAAACATTTCAAGATGAAAATTCTTAGAGCTAAACAAATTGATGGCCTCTAACTATATAACATGCTACTATAAACTCAAAACCCAATAAAGTCTAATACAAGGGGTCTTTGGAGTTCCTAGGAAATGAATGTAACAAAAGAGCTATACGTGATTTTCATTTTTTTTTTTTTTTTGGCACCAAAAAATGGGTACTAACTTGTTAAAACATTGCTGAACAGTATCTAGTTTGAGACATTAAGAAGGCTAAGAATTTATTTTGAAAAGGACTCATAACAGACCAACATGAGTTCAGCTGCAATTGAGGTAAGAACAAGCATCAAACTGTTGGTGAAGCTTGGGTAGAAGAATGGCAAAACCATTGGTGGCTTCCAGAAAGTTTGTGGTGACAATGCCCTAAGGAAATCAGTTTACATTTTAAAAATGAATGAAATGGGGGCCAGCGCTGCAACATAGTGGGTGAAGCCGCCCCCTTGTGGTGCTGGCATCTGTTTGGGCCCAGCTCCCTGCTAATGCACCTGGGAAACCAGCAGAGGATGGCCCAAGTGCTTGGGGCTCTGCACCCATGTGGGAGACCTAGATGAAGCTCCTGGCTCCTGGCTTTGGCCTGGCCCAGCCCTGGTCATTGCAGCCATTTGGGGAGTGAACCAGTGGATGGAAGATTCCCTCTCTCTCTCCCTCTTTCCCTTCCTCCCTCTCAAAATTTTTTTTAAAGTGATGATGTTGAAGATAAAGCCTTTGGGGGCAGACCATCTACATCAATTTGAGAGGGAAAAAAAAAAAAATCTTGTACCTGCCCTAATCGAATAGGGCAGACAGTTCACAAAAATAATAGCCAATAGCTCAATGGATATCAAAACTGTGCCCAGATCAGTGGCAGACAACAGAAGAGCTTTCAATGAAAGTTTTCAACAAGCAGGGTCAAGATCCTGAAGCAGTTCTTTAAGAATTGTGACTGGAGGGACTGGCATTGTGGTGTAGTGGATAAAGCTGCCACCTGCGACACCAGCATCCCCTAAAGGCACCAGTTCATGTCCCAGCTCCTCCACATCTGATCCAGCTTCCTGCTAATGGCCTGGGAAAGCAGTGGAGGATGGCCTGAGTGTATGGGAGACCCCAGTGAAGCTCCTGCCTCCTGATTTAGCCTAGCCCATCTTGGGCCATTGCAGCTGTCTTGAGTGAACCAGTGGATGGGAGATTTCTCTGTGTGTTTTTTCCCCTCTCCCTAACACTGTCTTTCAAATAAAAAAAAAAAAAGTATTTAAAAAAAGAATTGTGGCAGGAGATTAAACATTTACAGCATGATCCTGAAGACAAAGCACAATCCAAGTAATGGCTACCAAGAGGTAGAAGTGGTCCAGTCAAAGCAAATGCATACTGGTCCAAAGCAAAGGTCATAGCAGTAGCTTTTGGGGATGTTCAGAAATTTTGTTGTTTTGTAGGGCCAAAGGAAAAAAATCTACCTATTATGAAAGGATTTTGAAAAAGCCAAAGCTTTAGCAGAAGACTGCCTCAGGAATCTTCACCAGAAAGTCCTCAACCACACAATGCCCCTGCTCACTCCTCTCATCAAACGAGGGCATCTTGTGAGAGTTAAAGGGGAATAATCAGGCAGCCACTTTAGAGTCCTGATTTAGCGCCTTCTGACTTCTTTTTGTTTCCTAATCTTAAAAAATCTTTAAAGGCACCCATTTTTCTTCAGTTAGAAATGGAAAAAAAAAAAAAAAAAAAAAGACTGCACTGACAGATTACCAGGACCCTCAGTTCTTTAAGGATGGACTAAATGGCTGGTATCATTGCTTACAAAAAGATCTCAATCTTTATGGAACTTATGTTAAAAATAGTTTACATTATTTTTAAAATCTTTTAATTCCACTTTTCCACAAACATTTTGAAGCCCCCTCATATTAGCATAATAGTTTAGTAACACAAACTTAACTTTTGGACCACTTACCTTTCTTGGATATTTGTAAGGTGCAGTTGATTTTTTAACATGATCCTGAAGCTCAAGAGTTAATTCCTCTAGATTGGAGGATTTAAAGGGTGCTGATAAGACAACAAAAGCTTTCACCACCTGCAACAGGAAAGTCAATTTATGTTACTGTCTTTGTTTTTCAGACACATGAAGGGTTTTGGAACCAATGCGGAACACAGGTACTAATTACTTATTAATAGCTTGAATGATGACTTGCAAATACCAGACATCACCTACGAATGAAGCTCGGATATAATGATAAAGTGAGATTTGTGCGATCTAATAGAGATGAATGTTATGCGAGTGCAAGGAGTGCAGTTCGTACAGCTAAGTGCCACGTTCTAGTTTCATGTCATGCATATGTTTACCATTTCAGTCATACTGGTCCTATTTATTATACAGGAAATGAATTTATAGATGGTCACTTACTCTGTCAAATCCTCATTGCTGGAAGCGTACCGTAGTGGGATAAATGGAGGCTCTAGAGTATAAGATTTGAAGGGCATTTGAGGAGGCCTAATCTGGAAAGGATACTGTATCAGGAAAGACTGACTGATCTCTAAAAGGGCTTTCTTTTCTTGTATTTTTAAAAATAATTTTTGCATTTATATACAAGGACCACATTTCATGTATTTCATATGTACACATTTAGGAGCATCGTGGCCTTGTAGTTTTTGTTTCTCT